AAATTTATCAAAAATTATGGGATATTATTAGAAGTTAATGTTAATCGTTTCCTGCAGATTTAGTTGATACTGGAAGCTTATATTCAAATATGGAAAACAGTGAAATTTTTAATGACAATAATTGCTGTTGATTTAATGCTATTAGTCAAAAATGGTAAATAAACAATACGCAGTCCTACCAAACTATCGTCTAGCTGTTAACAGATTATTGTAAGTTTTCTTATTGTAAACATTTTAATAGCATTAAGCATTAATCCTTGAACGTTTATCATTTTTAGCATATAATTTTAGTATAGATTTCAGTATTGTCAACATCTTTTAAAAGTGTAATTTATTAAAGATCACATTAGCTATTACACTTCTTACGATAAAAATTCTAGTATTGTGGATTAAAATTTGATTATTTTTGAATAATTTAAAAACACTTTGAGATAACTTTTGAAGCATAAAGTAATTTATTAATTTTTCCTACCAACTTACAGATTTTTCTGAACAGTTCATAATTACTACTTAATATTTCATATATGTTATTGTAAAATAGTACTTAAATTAAGTCATATTAATAGTATTATATGATTGTGTTATTTTTTATTATAATCAATTGATATTACCATGAAGATAGAAGGTACTTTATCAGCCAGCTAATCATTAAATAGGTTTTCAAGTAAGCCCAATTAATTAATTGTTTATTTATAGAATATGCATGTTAGCAGTGTTTCTTCGTATTCTCGCATACATTTATTGCATCGATTTTCTGAAAAAGCGTCCAGAATTAAGTGTACCACAAAATTCATTTCGTAGACTCACTGATGGCATATATATGCTTAGAGATGGCGTTTCTCCGTATGATGGTGATATGATACATTGTGTATGTTTGCTTATATTAATTATTTCTGCAATTAATTGATAGAAATCAAGCGTTTATCATTTATGAATTATTTATCAATATGTACCAAAAAATTATCTATAATGTTCATAATAGTTTTAAATTGTTTCTAAAATTATAAATGATTTTGTTTTTCTCGCTAAGTTTTAAATGCTCAAATCAAATTAATTAATGTCTCATCTACATTTAGCTTTTCTTTTTTTGGATGTTTATTTGTTGTTCATTTACCTTCCGAAAATAGTTTGTAGAATTGATTATTGTAATCATTACACATTTAACCGAATAATCATAATACATAATCATAATTATGTTAGCAATGATTCGTATTTCAACTTATAGTTCATTGAACATCGTTGAACTTTGATAGTATTCCTTTGGTTGAGGATATATATTTAACTTTTTTGTTAGATAGTGTTTAATTTATAACTTGTTGACATTAAGTGAATAATAGTAAATGAATCATTTACTACTACATATTATTTAACAAAAAAGTTGAAATTATTATAAAAGTAAAGATTGTTAGTTCATTTTATTTGTAGCAACCGATACTGCTGTATTTATTCACCGCAGTAATTGATCACCCCAATCTATTATTGATAATATTCTTGGTATGAATGTTTATTTTATTCTAATGAAATTAAAATATCACTGCAAAATTAATAACTATTCTCGATTAACATTTAAAGTATAATGCATTGAGTAGGTTACGGAATATTTCTATGTGGTAATTTTATTATCATTGTGTTTATCAGTAATTTAGCTTGACAGATAAGTGTGTCTAATTGGATTTGAAAGCTTATTGAGACCAGTGTTTTGTTTTCAGTCCTTTGATGTAATAACGAGTGAGATTTTACGCATGATAGCAATAGTTTATTTGAAAAATCATGGAAGTAGTGTAGAAAATATCGAACGAATTGCTAATTTGGTTTCGAAATGGTAAGTGAAATACAAGGTTATATTCAAAAATAAAACTGCAAAAAAGTTTTTTTTTTTTTGATTAATATAAACTTTATATTAAAACTTTCGAAATAAGTTTGGAAGTGAAACATTTCTTATTTATGTTCTTTTTCCAACACTTTTTTTAATTGATAAGTTTTCAGTTATATGCTTAATCCTATTGCTGTTGCTAGCTGTGCTATTTTTAGTCTATCAGTTGTTTGTAATCTTATTACAGCTCTTTTTATTTTGGCATTTGTAAAAGGTGAGTTAATTTTTTTTTTGCTATATTTTCGAGGATTGATTCTATCATTAGTATTATCAGCAGAAAAAGAAGTTAACGAGGATTATTGACAAATTTCCCTTTTGTGCCAATGTCTAGTTTTTTTTTTTTTTTCTACGTAAACCTATCAGTTAAACGTTATAAAATATTATATTATAATATTAAATCACGTATCTTAAAGATGAAAGAAAGAATGGGACACAGTTTGAAAGTTTTTATGAGGATTTTAAATCTATAATTTTCTTTTCTTTTCATTTATACGAAGAAAATATGTTTAATTGAAGAATTCCAGGTTCTGTATTGTTTAGCTCGATATTATTTAGTGTACTTGTGCAATTATCACTCTATCCAGCTATTTACATATGTGCTTTATTGGTGAAATTCTCAGCATTAAAAGAACGTATAATGATAATTGCATTTTCAATTATTACAGTTACTGCTTTGTTGTTTTTTAATTATTTTCTGAATGGAAATAATTGGAATTACATTGATTCAACATATAAATTTTTGTAAGTTTTAGTTTTCTTTTTTTCCGTTTTTTTTCTTCCATCTTTTTTTTTTCAATGTTGCTATAAGAGAGAAGCTAGAATATGAAACTGAAACATATACAAAAAAAAAAAAAAAAAAAGAAAGAGAATTTGTTTACGTATGTTGTAAACTTACATAATATACTTCATTATAATTTAAATTTAACTTTTTCATCTTCATATTTGATATTTTTTCAGATTGGATGTTCGTGATTTGACACCAAATGTTGGCATATTTTGGTATTTTTTCATTGAAGTTTTCAACCATTTTCGACGTTTTTTTCTTTGGGTATTTCAAATCAATATCCTTGTTTATCTTGTACCTCTGTCATTGACATTAAGGTGACACTTCCTATTGCAATCAGTAAAATTTATCATCCATTTTTGTCTCATAATCTCAATTGCCTACTTATTTATATTGCTATTTATTATATCCTAAGTTTAAATTTATCTAAATTGCCCATTTATTTATTAATATAAGGTGCAGAATTCAAATGTAATTAAAAGTACGGAATGCAATCTTTTTACTATCTATATATCATATCTGATTGAGTTTCAGGTTCATATTTTCAGTCTGAATGCATTCATTACCGTTTCTATTTCAGATCCAATGCCTTTCTACTTCTACAACAGCTAATGATTCTCATTTCCGTTTTCACATCGTATCCATCGATGGCTGATTGTTTGGTTTATTTAAGTTTATTACCTCTTTTCGAAAATTTAAAAAAATGTTCGTTTTATAATCTTTTATATTCTTATTCACTCTATGAGCAGATTATTTTAGCATTTGTTTCCGATGATTGAAAATCACTTTTAAAAAAAAATATTAGGAATTTTATTTAAAAAATTTTTACTTGACACTTAATCAGAAAAACAATAATTCTTTTCGATAGCTACTTTTTCGTTTATTTCATGAAGATTTCCGTTGGGGACTAATTTCCGGTGGTGCACTGTTAGTAACAATCGTTCTGGCACCAGTGATGTGGCAAATGTGGATTGTTACTGGTTCAGGAAATGCAAATTTCTATTTTGCTGCAACTTTAATTTATTCTGTTGCCCAGGTAATTGATTAATCTTCCCTTTTATCACTTTTCATTTTTGGCATTCCAATTCTTATTATTGTTATGAATTATTCATCAAATGGAACACTTTTTAAATTTCACATATTACATTTAGGTAAGTTGAATATTCATTTTCATTCTACACGTTGTATACTTTCTTCATTAATTCCAATATTCAATTTTCTTTGCAGATTTTTTTGCTTACCGATCTTCTATATGGTTATTTGCGCTTGAAACTTGTCGAGAGAAGAGGTATAACTGATGAAAGCAAAATAGCAGTTCTTATGTTCAAGTAAATTACGCATTTAATGATATGTTTCATTATGTATTGTAACCAATTTTACGATGTATTTGATGCTTTATTTCTTGATCTTTATCAATTTATCATTTCGTAGAGCATACATTTTCTTTCATTTATTGTTAAAATACTTTTCTTTCATTTATTGTAAAAATACTTTTTGCTTTTCTCATCGAATATTATTTTGGATAATAGAACATATCAAATTGAATGAATGATATAAGAAAGATGATATGTTAATATTAATTTTTCCTTTTCTTCATCTTAAAGTTAGCATTTAATATTACTGAGATAAATTGTTTAATACTGATGTTTAACACTTATAAAATAGCAGAAAACGTATTTGAGCAACAAAATAAGCTTGATGACTTTGAATAGCAGAAAATTTCTGTTACTAAATTATTAATAGATTTAATTACTTTATTTGTTGACGCGCGTATATTTTTAAGTATTATTTCTACTAACTTAACGATATCAACTATCAAGTAAGTTATTGATAATAAGGAAATATATGAAATATAAATATAGAAATGCCCACTCATTTTAGAATGCGATAGTAAAGGATTTTTATTTTCATTATCATATTAAAAAATATAAAAATAAAACGGACTTTTATGGGAATTTTTCATTCTTTTTTCCCTTAAAACAATCATTGACAATCCAAAATTACCAAATTTTTATTGGAAGCAAACAATTCTCATCTTTATTTGAGTGGGTAGAGTTTTGAGCCACCATTTGTTCAGTTCATGAAGTGGAGCTTAGGATCAAATAATTTTTTTTTTTAATATTTAGATTTATACATAATGTGTTGTCAGTATTATGAAAATGAATAGAAAGCATTTTTTAAAAACATGAAAATAGTAGATTATTTTGTTTTGAAGTTTCGAGAGGAAAATTCATGTTTCCTAGAAATTATCTACTATAATTCTGTAGGAAATTCAGAAAGTTGATAAATTATTTATTAATAATTGATTATCACAGTTATAATATATGTGGACATTCATTACAGTTAGTTTTGATTGTTCCCAAACCAGCTTGTAGAAATTTTATAAAATGATGAGAATGATGGTGTAGCTTTGATACTTCCTAATTGCTGTTGCTGTTGAGTTTTTGATTCTTTTTTTCTTACAACAGCTATACTAGCTGAGGATTGCACATCATCGAGCTTCTAAAAAAATTTTTGAAAATATTGAAAACATTGAAAGTTTTAAATCTTTTTTTATTTTTTAGATAATTATGCTAACAATATACAAATCATATTTATACAATAGTTTTGAGTGTTTAAAAGATTTTAGTTAATCTCTAATTTTCAATATTACTTACCGTATTTTTTGTCAAACGTGGAATATGTGTAAGACGTGGTGTATCATTAAGTCGAGGTATAATATCAACAACAGCCGAGAAAGATGCACTCAATGAAAGCTCTTTGTTAATTATTACATCCGAAAGCAAATGTGCAAAAATAATCTGAAAAAAAAAAAAAATAGATTGCAAATATCTGATAATAGAATAATAAATTGCATTATACGGAATTACGAAGAAAAGAAGAAATTTTACTCCTAACTATTAATTAATCTATTCCACTACAAACTTATTTCTTTAAGCCATCAAATAAATATGAATAGCAACAAGTATTACTGTGACTTAATCGAGATTCATAGTAATATATTTCATCCTATTTAATATAATTACATAAGTGAAAATTTGTTTAATTTTTATGTTACATCAATTTAAAAATCAAAAGGATACTTTTGGAAATGTATAAATAAGAAAGAATAAATCAAAAAAATAGTACGAACCGAATGACGCTGCGCTACCACTCGAGCATTCTTTCCAAGTGGACCAGAGACAAGACTTAAATCAAACGGATCTAATTTTGCTTCTAAAAGTGGAATTAGAGGACGCATATCACCATTTGGCAGGATAACATTCAAAAAACGAACATCAAAAAGATATTGTAGAACAATTCGAGATGATAGCTCTACACTAGAATGTGCAACAATAGAATACACCGAAAAAAGTATCTTTTCAAGGTGCTGTGAAATATGTGATCGAATATTTCTTGTACATAAATAACCAACTGAATCATTGGAAATCTGAAATTTGAAGTCTAAATTTTTTTTTTTTATCATTTGAAATAAAAGTCTTATTTCTTTGGTAGTGTATAATTTATTGAATTTGCTTATTTTTTTAATTTATTGAATTTACCACTATGTGATATTTTATTTTTAAAAGATAAAAGAAAAAAAATGCATTACATAAGGAATAGAAGGATAGCTTAAAAGTAATCATTTATAAATCTCTCGATAATTAGTAATAGCAAAAAAAAAAAAAAAAATCGAATTAAAGCAATTTTTTTTTCAAATTTATAATATGACAGAATTACCTTCTGACATAAGCTATATAGAAAAGAGTATAAAATTCGACTAATTTGTACAGGTATTTCCACTGTACCAACTTCTGGTAATTCCAATTTTTCAAATTCCTGGCAATGCATGAAAATTTAATTATGAATTGTGCGATTAAAAAAGAAAAAAATTCAATAAATTCATATTCAACAAAATATGCAAATAAACTTTACGTAATAGAAAATGTAAAGTTTTTTTTTAATAAAAATATTTTTAATAAAATTTTTTAATAAAAATAAATCAAAAAGACATGAAAAATTGCCAAAATCATATAGGAAAGCATATAGGAAAACATAATTAATTAATTAATTAAACCTGCAAATATGATATGAAAATGAATGGATCATCGTATACTTCGGCTAATTTCTGTATTTCTTTCTCTTTAGCACAATCTTCAATGATTACATCCAAATAAGCACTGCAAAAAAAAAAAAAAGGTAGGGATAATTGTCATAGCATTTTCATTCTCAATCAAATCGTTTTTTCTTTCTGAAAATTAAAATAAAAGTAAGGATATAATCGATTGACAGTTCACTAATTAATTCCAGTATAATCAATATTAAAATCACTAATATTTTCTTTTTTTTTCGTTTTAATAAACTATACTTTATGCAATAAAAACATTATGTAAATATACAGATATTACTGTCGTTTCAAAAATATCACTCAAATTAAAATTAAGAATAAGTATAAATTAATAGATATGTTAAAAAAAAAAAATTAATATAACTACTTTAAAATGTACAAAATTTGAAGAAAATTGAATTGATACATTAACAATTAAAATTTATATTACAATTAAATGTTAGCATAATCATACCAAAGTGATTTTTCAGCACTTTCATATAACATTTTCGCACATTCTATTATACGCTCCATATTTTTTGACATAGAAAGAGAAATAGATGAGTTACAAGATTGCATCAATGCAATATAAACTCTAGCCATACATAATGCACGATCAGAATGTGAACCATTTGAATAGTCATCCGAACTATTAAATTCTTCTGCCACAGTACACAATCTATGGGATGAAAATATTAATTATAGAATTTGCTTTATATTAAATGCAAAATATAATAAAGGAAATGAGGATTTATTAATTAAGGATAAAATAATATAAACTTTTATTCTTTCACTTTTATTATTTTTTTTTTCCTAAAATAAACTAAAGTCTGTTGTTACGAACGCAAAAAAGTTTACTGTTATTGTTAATAGCGATTTTTTAAATCAATTATGTTTCTCACCTCTTTAACATTTCTAAGACAGCAATAGAGAATTGCTCATGCAGCTGACCTACTGTTTCCTCCTTACCAATCATTTCATATTCGTTGATAAAATTTAATAAAGAATGCAAACCATCATTAAATTCTTTGATAACACTGAAATGTAATGAAATAAAATTTAATCTTGAAACTTCGCTAAATTTTGATGTTATATGAAAAAAAAAAAAGACTAAAAAGATTCAACCTTATCAATTCTTGTGAAACACCAGCAGCAAGCAATGAATCAAGTTTAGGAGAGCGTTTCTTGAACAAAGCCGGTGGATGACAAGAAATATTGGGAATTTTATTTAAAAGATTTTGCTCCAATACTGATAATTCATTGATGATTAACTCCTTAAAAAAATAATACTAGGAAAGATAAGAACTTTCTCTCTATATATCTATAAATTATTCCTGCTTAAAATTTGTATCTTTTCAATATCAACGTTATTTAGATATTGAATTATTTCACGTTGAAATCTTAAACCTCACTAAGATTATATTACTTCAATATTCTGTCATTAAATTTTTCAACAAACTCTACAAAAAAAAAAAAAGAAAAAAAGAGAGAAAAAAACAATAATATTTTCACATTATTGATATTTTTATGAAGACAAACAAACCTGAAATTTTTCAATAATCATATTTCCAAGAAACCGCTGATATACTGCTGTACTGTCACCAACCAATGGCCATTTCTAAAAAATATAATATATATATAATCACCGATTATTATATCGAAAGAATTGATACTGTTGATCGGAGATATACAATGCAACAACTATTACAGAAGCCAAATTATCAGAATTTAAATAAATCATTGATTTAATTGATCTAATCTAATCTAATTCAGCATTCAGAAAGATTCATTTCGTAACAAATGAACAAAAAATGAAAAAGATAACATACCTCAGCAAAAGCTTCCAGAAGAACCTTGATAAAAGCAATCAATGAAGAAGTACTCTCCATAACATCACATTTCAACTTGACAATATTTTGAGAAGCAGAACAAATACTGAAAATAATCTAATTTTGGCTAATACATTTTCTTTTTCAAAAAGGTCACAAAATTCATGGAACAATAACTTTCATTGTGAATTATTGAAAAGAAAAGAGTTTCTAACAGTTCAAAAATTCAAATTCTGCAATCTTTTACCAAAATCTAGAAATTAATATTTCAACTCAATATTACTTACGTATGCAAAAACGAATTGCAATGCGTAAACAAAAAATTCTCATCAATTGGAGTCAGAGTAAGTCGCCTGCAATGATCATTTGTTTCAGTGATTTCTGCTTTGATACACTTCCCAAAATAAAGTACGTCATCACGCATCATTTTTTCTAATACTTCTAAAAGAATTGATATTTTAAGAAGTAAAATTAAAAAATAAAAAAAAAAAGCTGGAAAAAATTTCGAGATGATTCTCCTATTTTAGCTAAATATTAAACATTGAAAAATTTCAAAAATTTCTGCAAAAAACTTAATTCATATAACATTAGAAAATTATACTTTAGTTGGAAATTCAAGAAATTTTCTGTAAATTCAAATTAATATTTTTCTTAAGTGACATAAAATTATAATGAATTAATAAAATTTAGCTCAATGCATACTCGGGATCCAGAGTGGTGAGGAAATTGTTTGTAATACCATAGCTAAATGACCATCAACAAAAATATCTTTTAAACATTCGAACATTTGACGAACTTGCCATACCAAATCAATCAATGATAACGAGTTGTTCAATGCTCTCTTGATAGTTATCTGAAATAATAAATTTCGGATGAAAAGTTGAATGTTTCAACTCTTTTTTTTGTGAACAAAACACCTGAAAACTTGAAAATATAAGATCCTTTTTCAAATTTACAAAAAACTTTCTTCTTTAAGAATATATTATAAATCAAAAAGGTTTTTTTCTTTTTTTTTTTCATAAATCACCATATAATATATTACATATTACAAAACAAAATATTCCTTTTTTTTCTCATTTTACTATTATGCAACTATACGAAACTATATGAATTGTTTGCATCCAATTAGTAAAATTCAAATAAAAATGGAAAAAGATAATTAACCAGATAAATATACGCAGAAAAAATATAACTGACCAGTTTTTGCTCAATAAAAATATCCAATAAATCTTTGCTTGAACAATTTTTGAGAATTGCAATTGCTGCTAATTGATTTAAGGTCTCATTCGTCGTCGATAAACTGCCTAAACCACTGATAAATTCATCTTCAAGCTTTAGTCGTATTCGTATAAGTTTCGGTGATATATGATGAATCAAACGTGAAAATTTTTTTGACTGAATAACATCAGTAGATAAATTACGATGAAGCATTTCAGTAAGCAACAATATAAATGCATCTGATAACGGATCATTTTCACCAATCTGAAGAAAAAAAAATGAAAAAATTAAAAATAAAAAACAAAGTGCAAAAAATAAAATGCTAAAAATGTATTTAAATTACTAAATAAATTATTTTATGTGAATAACCTGAAATATTTGAATAACTAATAATTTTATACTATTAGAATCTATATATTTGATAACAACTTTTCAAAATATTTATCAGTTTTATCAAATACTAAAAAAAAAAAAAAAAATTTTTTTTTTTTTTTTGATTTTATAATGTCATATTTAAAATAATACATATTTCATATTAATGCGTGAAGTGTATTAAGCAATTACTCATTATGCAATGTTATTTTCATTGCTACGATAAAAATCATTCAGTACGAATATAAAATATAGAATTGCATACGTACAAAAAAAAAAACTACGTAAAAGTAAAAGAAAAGATATATATCTTTTTTTTTTTTCTTAAAGAAAAGAAATATTTTACCAGCAAATAAAACTTTGATAATGCTGATATTCGACAAAGTTTTGAACTTGATAATGAATATTCGTTGCTAAATGAAAGATCAGTGTTTGTGTCACGAACAGTATGAACACATTCCACTAATGAATTAGCAATGTGCATAACATGACGGACTGAACTGGATGCATCTAATACATCACGATAACGACGACCAACCATTTGTCGCATTTCTTCTTTTTTCTCTTCCACTTCTATGCTAAATTTTAGAAATTTTTATGAACATTAAATCATAATATCATATTAAAAAAGAAAAATGAAAGTAAGAACTGAAAATACTTAAAAGAATATGAAGTATTGTAATTTAAATTACTAGTAAAAAAAAAAGAATGTATAAATAATAAATTAAAATGTTGTATTAATAAGATTAAAAATTAATATTATTTGTCATGAAGGTTAACAATAAACCATTTTCAATGAAAATCAAAAACTTAAACTTTTTCAAGAAATCATCAAAATCAGAAAAAAAAATAAATCTTTTTAAGGAATGAAATATTGTAATTTAAAACTAAACAGAACCAAAAAATAAGTGAATCTTTATAAGAAATGAAGTATTGTAATTTAAATTACTATGTAATATGAAGATTAAGCAAAACTTATTTGCTTGATATATTTCATGAAATCCTGACCAAAGTTTCGAATGTATATTTCATGAAATTCTCACCAAAGTTTCGAATGTATGTTTCATGAAATTCTCACCAAAGTTTCGAATGTATATTTTGTAGCTGATCAATTGATAAATCTTGCATTAAACGTTCAACATCCATTCTGCTCTACTTTCGTGCTTCTCAACCAAAATCCTAAACATATAACGTTTCTAGGATAAGGAATTCAAATTTGATCTGGAAACCACATAAATATCAATTTAAGAAACTCTCATAATACTCTCATAATAATTCGGCTCATCTTTTCATCTTTCGATTACTCTTTCCGGATTTTTTATTCCTAACCCAATCTTTCCCTGATTCAATTAATTTACTCAAGCATTAGTAAAATGTATAATTTAAATCTCTAGAATTAATAAAGCATAATAAAAAGCGCCACTATATATGTTATCTTAAATTAATCTAAAAACTTGAGTAATTTTTCTAACACTCTTTTCTTAATTTCAATTAAATTATTTTCATCGATCCTTTTAGCTACTAAATTTGTTGCATGATTTTCATACTATTCCGATAATTCACAAATAATTGATTACTTCTAAGCTTTTCACTGTGGCTTTATGCAAGAAATAGCCATGTTAATTTTGGCTTGTTTCGGTGGAAGAATTTTAAATAATCTTGTGGAGGTAGACATCATCTGAGTTTAGAGTCAACTCAAATTTAATTTAGAAAATCAATTAGGCAATCAGCAGGATTATTAATACAATAACAAATAAGTTAAAATAAACAATTCTTTAACAAGTTTCAACAGTGTTCTTGTTAAGACAGGAATATTGTAATAGCGATAAACACTAAATGTGGTTAATAGTCAAAGAAAAGAAAACAATAACAATAAGCAATTAATTTATTCAAAGATACAAACGAATTGTCTCACGAAGAGAACGTAATATGAAGCATGCACATATGAACGTGTCATTTCGTTCAATTAGGCCAGAAGAGTGAAAGTTTTGCTACGCTGAAGTTTGTGTCATTTGTCAGTGTCCCACTTCACCAACTTTGCCAGAAACCTGAACAGAAAAAAAGAAAATATTAAGATAGTAATGTATATATACCATAGACGTAACTGTAGCTCAGTAAACATATTATATTGATTTAAAACAAATCTGAAATAGTTAATTCAGATTAGAATTTTAAGAAGAATTTCTAGTTATTATATTGAAATTAGTGAGGTCAAAATTTAATATATAAGAAACTAACTCGTTTAAAATCCTGCATGTTTGTTGCAGAAAGTGGTGTTCCATAAAAGCGAAGAGCTTCAATTGTTGTATTTTCAGTTCCGCCTTGATTATCTTCCACAAATAACTGTATATTTTTCACGCTTTGAAATTTCACGTAACGCAGATTACATAACTCTCCTTCGACGGCCTAAAAATTCAACTTCATCGAGATATTTTGAACAATTACTTTTCTTCTAATATAATCATTCACAAAGTTGTCCAAATAGAAAAAAATTTAGATCTTTATTTCACATAGCACATATTTATAACATTTATTTTCGACTTTAAATTTTACCAAAGATTTTCATTCATCAATCTATCGATTATAGCAAGAGATAGTTTGTTAGCTGATAATGCAATAGTTGATAATAAGGTATTCATAAAATATAAATACCTTTTCGGAAAAGGAGATCGTCTGTACACTTTCAGCACCTGCTGCTCGATCAAAATCAAGGATACTTGCAAGATTTGTAAAAATTTTAACTGTTTTTGGTGCTGATGGACCACTACCTTTCAAATAAATGGAATGAATTTTTACTGGCTGATTAAATGGAATTGATATGATAAGCTGAGGATCGCAATCAGATGTAAGCACACCTTTACCATTAAGTAGACTCCTGAAATATGCAAATTGCCATCAAGAAACAAAAATGTCTTATTATAAATGTTTCGCATTTCTCTTAATAGTAGCATTTAATAATATGCAAAACTTCATACATATTATTACTACATAAAAAATGCAAAATTTCTCACTAAAAATTTATTGAAATATGAAATAAAATAGCTTATGAGTTTACTAATATATCAATATTTAACCAAATGACAATCTTCATTTCGCAATAGATAACGAAGATTACAATTTAAGATGTTTACTTATATTTATTAGAAGATATAAAAGAGCTAAATATAAAATTAAATTAAATTCAAAAACTTAATATTCATAAAAATTGAAATGCTTATTTTTTTACAATATGACAAACCTTAATGTTGCATTATCATCTTCATTTAAGCATTCCACTTGTGTTTTATCAACAAATGTTATGAGATCAGTTTGTCCCACGACCAAACTATCCTCTTTTGGTGCATTATCGGACCATTTTTTACCAATGCTTCTAATGCATTTGGATCACCACCACGCAAAAGATCAACTTTCACCCTATATTCAAATTTTTCTTCTTTCTTCTCTTTTTTTGAAAAGAAAAACCATATATGATTAAAAAGAAAAAACTAGTTTCTTCATCATTTATGTTGATAACAAAATTTTGAAACTATTATTTTTATCAATATATATATATATTACCTCAATACTTGTCACATAATTATTTATGTTTTTACACAGAATTTGCTATTTTAAATTAAAAAAGTTAAATCTTAAAAATAATTATAGTACCTATTCATGTATACAATGAATGTAGGCATTGCAGTAACTCCCTGAAGTGTCGATAGATCTTTTGCCTTATCAACGTCAACTTTAAGAAATGCAACATTTAAATATTGATTGGAAAGTTGCTCAAATATTGGTGCTATTCGTCGACATGGTCCACACCTTTACATAATATAAATTATTAATCAGTAATAATTTCATATTAACACTTAATCTAAACGAACTAAATTAATCAATAGACAAAAAAAAGAAAGCTAAACCAATCATCGGAAAATATTTTTCTTTTCCAAATGAAAATAACTGAAAAAATGAGGAAAAAAAACTCATCTCATTGAAAATTTTAAAATTAAAATAAAAGAAATTTTGCAATTATTTTTTCTACACAGAAATTAAAAAAAAATGAAATTAACAGTTCTGAAATTTAAAATAAAACATTATCAATTAACCAGATTGCATAAAAATCAACAATAACAGGTTTTGCGCCAGCATTTGCCAAAAATTCATGAAATCCTGCATCCGAATTACAGTGATGAACAACCATAACTGTTATAAAAATAAACAAAATTTCCACTATCCAATATACAATATACTCAAACTGAAAGTTTCACCTGAGAAAAAAATCAAATTACGCCTTCTTGAAATACTACTTTTATCAACATTAAATAAACATTTTAGTTCAATTATAAACTATCACTCTATTATAATTTTTAAAAGATTAATTAGTATACCACTTCAAATGCTCACTATGATAGAGAGAAATTACCTCCAAATATTTTTTTGATAATTTAGTTATAGCTTATTAATTATTAAAATCTGGACATTTTGCAATATGCAAGATTAACGAAGTCTTATTCAAGATATTCTGGTTAATCAGATATCTCTATTTGGATATATATTCAAAAAATTCATTATTAAGAACAAGAAAAATGGTTGGTGAATTGGAAGATGAAAGAAAAAAAAGGCTGGTAGATGTGTTGGTGAATTGAACCAAACATAGATTTGACAATTTGTCAGCATCAAATACACATGATAAATTTATTTCTTTTTCTTTTTCCAAAAATTTCAATTACAAGCAAATATATGTACTATATCATTTTAAAATATGAAAAAACAAATATACAAATGAAAGGATATTCAACTGGTATCCAATAACATAATTATGATTCAAAATTCAATAAACATTCTCTAAGGAAACAATAGTTAGAAAACGATAAATGTATCATTGAGTATTTAATTTTTTTTTTTTTTTAAAAAAAAATACATGACATTCCTTCATTTTATGTTATTTTTGCTAAAATGATTATAGAAATTTCATACAACTATGAATTTTTTTTTTTTTTTGTTCCAGATGAATGATTTGAAATCATGAGTACAGTTAAAGTTGGCACATAAATAAAAGTAGAACCCAATTTGGCATGAATTTCAAAAAAAAAAAAAAAAAAGAAATGTAATGAGAAAATAAAAATATACAAGAATTCGTCAATTTACAAATCCATAATGAAAATAAGTAACCACTTGTATCATCAATTCCTCCTAATATTTCTCTTCGTCCATTCAACGAATAACTTTCAGTGAAACTTTCAATCACTTCATTACACAAAGGGAAACAGAATCTTCTATGCAAGCCAGCTTTTTTCTTCGACAATAATGACCATTCAAATGAAGTCTTAAACAAAATTTGAGATTTCAAACAGAGCATTTTCCCCAATTAAAATTTCTTATATTCAAAATTTCAATTCAAGAATTTCAAAAGGAAGCAAACAAACATTTTTTCTTATGATAAAACTATAAAGATCGTGAAAAAATGTGACAAAGTTAACAAATACAACACAAATAAATATGAAAGATGGATGAAAATCACTATTGCAAAATTCATATTGCATATCGCATAATAAAATAAAATACCTCAAAAATTAAATGCAGTTTATAAAAATTAAATTTGGAATGAAAAATAAAAAAAAAAAAAGAAAAGAAAAATGCACAATTTCTAAAACAGACCTCTAAAGCAAAACATACGAGCATGAATAATAACAATACGTTTACATTCATGAAAGTTCACGATTGAATAGAAATGCAGATCAGTTACAAAAACGACATGAAGCAATAATATTTGGAAAGGAAGAGAGCATTTTATGTCATAAATTGAAATTCAAAGAAGTCCTGAATGAAATTTTAAAACATCCTGTTTTTGATCCAAGGACACGTGACAAGCGTGCTACTACACAAACCATTCTAATCACAAATATAACTAAGATTTATAAGAAATGCATTAGAGTTTTGAGGGTTTGCCTGATCGATATGAATGAGCTATAGCTTCAGGTCGCTCAACGTGGCAATCCAATTAATTTTTTCAAGCCAAATCTAGGTTGACATTGACATAACAGGTAATTGAAATTTCATTAAGCGTTCAGATTTTTAGTATCAAAAGCGTTACAATTTTGAAAATCCGAAACAAAGATTTTAGATCCATAACTGAAAACTGCATTGAAAATTCTGGAAGTATTCCCTGAAAAAATCATATAAAATGTTATTTAAAATAAACAAAAACTAATTATATTTTCAACTTATCAGAAAGTTCTTTTTGATAACAACGGAATATCTCAGAAATGTAAACGAACAAAAAATAAAAATAAAAAATACCTTTTAGCGTTTTATCAAATTTTGCAAGAAGGAAATTTTAGGATTATTTATATGAGGTCTATATAATTATTATATTCGTTTAGAGATATGATTAAATTATGCATCAACCAAGTAGTATACTTTAGTTAAATCCAGGATGCCAAGATTATCCAAGGCTACCCGTAGCAATATGAAAGTTAATCTGAAAAATATAAAAATTTTTAATCAAACAAATATGAAATGTTTCAAAATTCAAACTAAAGCATACATTAAAAAGCAGGAAGATGTAGCAAAATGAAATGCTCACTCTTTCATTGTTTGGCAATTTTAGCTTCCAGCATGGACACTTTTTGACACATTTCCAAACGAAATTTATTCATTGTTGTGAGTAATTCTTCAAATTGTTGAACCAAGCGATTATATTCACTACGTGGCACAAATTCATCATTAATATCACTGCTACTATTTCTCGGTGATAATACTTGCTGCACTTTTATTGATTTTATAGAAGATGCTGCAATACAAAAAAAAAAAGACATTGTATTATATGGTTGGAGTGTTAAAAAATCAAAGATTGCCAGAAATGCGCTATAGATCCTTAGAAGAGTTTAGAAAAGTTTACAGTTTAATATACTTATAACCGATACGGTCGATGTTAAAACACAATTCACAGCAATGAGGTTTGTAGTGCTGATTGAAGATATTTTGCAAGTAAAAGAATTACTTTCATAATTTTTTAAGAAAATAAAAGATATAAACAAATAATTTTCAAGAATCCAAAATCTAATATCCTCATCATCATATTATGGAAAATATAAAGTCATGAAACGATGCTTCACTTTTTCTTCTCTTGTTTCAACTTACTGACAGTTTGCAAATTTATTTTAACTTGCTTTGTCGCTCCATGAAACTAAGCTATTGCAAATTACTATTGCGAATTTCAAAATCCGTAAAAAGCCTTCCACAAAGAATAAGTAATATGGATCTTAGTCAGATAAAATGATGAATTACTTATTGATAAAGGTTGTTGTGTGTAACTGCTAGACAAAGAAGTAGCTGTCGATGTTGCAGGTGAAATTCTTCCACATTCAGCCGTCAACATATCATCGTTAGCTGAGGCTTCATTTGATTTCTGAAATTCGATATGTTTTTACTAGAAATGAACTTTTTAAAATAAACTAGAAAATGATACTGATTTATATTCACAAATTTCAAAAATTTTGATGATATATATATATATGCAAAAAACACGATATGTGAAAACAGGATGACTCAACTTTCACGTCTAAATAGGCAAATTTTAACAATGAAGTTGAAGCATGTCATTCGAAGAAAAATATAAATATCAGTGAGTAAGGGAAGAAAGTGACAAAATTCATTAGCACAAAAATTTATTCAGGATCATTCAGGATAAGAAATCCTGAATCCACGAACAATAAACTTAAAAAGAAAAGTCGAATACAGAAAAAAACAGTACTTTACTGTGTTAGCACAATTCAGAAAACAAAAATTAATTCCTAACCGTTCTGAAAACAGTGGACGGAGGTCTTTTATTCGGTTGTTTAGGTCGAGTTGCGGTTATGTGAGATAAACGATCACCTGGTTGTCCTTCATCAGTCAAGCCCTCTCCCGTTTTTGGAGTCTAAAAAATTGAACTTCCATACAATTTCTTCCATTATTTACTGTATAAACTGCTCCAACGGTTGCAGGATACCCGCTTTAATGTTACGATCAAACTGATTTGCAGAAGTTCCGAAAAAGTTATCACTGCCTTAGAGACTCATAACATATTAAGGTACGAAAGACACAGGTATCTCAAATTATAAACAGTAGCATGGGAGTATTGCACGAGTAGAAAAAAGTTTCTTTATTCTTATCCCACAATCATTGAATCCAGCATTTTTGTTTGAATGAGTCATCAAAATGCTATTAAAATAAATACTCTAGCAGTAAACTGCTTCGGTGGTTTCGTGAAAGCATCAGCAAGACTGGAATGCATTTGAGCGAACATTGAAGAAGTTGTAGCACGACGACCAACACCAGATGACAGAGTTACTGTCTTTGATACTGGTTTGGCGGGCACATTTGGCGGTAAAGGCATCTGAATTTTGTTCACTTATTTAACATCATATCACTTCTTTTTCAAATCTTAAGTTGGAAGAAGGCTAGAATTTTTAATAATCAAATTTTGACAGGTTGTAATTTTCAAAAGGCTTAATTTGAATTTAAATCAAAAAAATTTTTTGAAATATTCATCCCACTTGCTCATGTTTTCTTCACTCACTCAAAAAAACTGAAAACTGTAAACGCACCTTGTTTATTTCTGGATTTGTAGTGTTAATCGGAACTGAAGGCCTTAAAATCTCAACAAAATTATCTGGAATCAATCCTTGTTTGCCATCAACTTCAGCTAGTAACCAACCAGGATCTTCACTGGATTTGCTTACAATTTCAACTATTTGGCCTACTTCACGAAGTGCAAGCTCATCTTCATGTTTTGGCGAATAAGTGAATAGAACACGTGCTAAAAGAGTTCAAAATGAAGAAAATGATTATATAAATTCGTAGCAACATAAATAAGAATTAACATAAATAATAAGAATTATCATCAGTCATTTCGCATGTACACAAAAATACCTCTGTTATCCAATTATTTCATCCACTGATCAGCCCTACTGGAAACCTGTCAGAATAAAAAAAACAAAAGTTAAAATTTAAAAGTTTCTAAATTAATACAGTTTATTGAAATCGAAAGCCAGTAGAATAGAAATTCTTAAAGTTTTGTTATTTGACCGATCGGTAGTAGAAGTATAATCCCAACAAACTCAACTAGCTTGCAAATCATAGCAACACAGATGATACATTATTCCACGTGTCCTTGAACAGTTGTTACCACTTATCTCTACCATTTTAAAAAAAAAAAGAAAAAAATTCAAAGCTTCCTAATCTTCCGACTAATAAAAATATAATAACAGCTTTACATTCTGAACGCTAATAAAAAAATATTAAATCCAGACGGATGTAATTCTTAATAAAGGGATAAAGCCTATAATTATTTCTCCACCGATTTTCAATTAATGCTAATATTATAAATTCTATTAAAAAAAAAAAGAAAAATAAAATAAAATTGCATGTGTAAAATGATGAATACATGAAAAGAATTAAAATTTTTGTGCATAAATGAAGAGAGATCCTGAAAATTCTAGTATAATCCATAGATGTCAAAAAACCTTTAATTTATAATCCTATCATGTAAAACGATACATGCGTTCAGAATTAATAGTGCATTTTCGTCAAAGACAAAAAAGTTAATAACCTCGTGAATTCACTTTTTTTTTTCCCAAAGTTGTAGCTGTGGCACCAGATATGTGGTAATTTATACGATTCTCTGACGGTTCACTTACTAGGGATAATCGTGAGGTAGGCATTTCGGGCAGCATATCACCTGCAAATTTGCTTTTGCAAGAAATTACAAACAAAAATGAACTAATGGTAATAAATCTTAAAAATTTCACTAATTCCATTATTACTGACTTAATACTAGCCATTAAATTATTGACCGACTTAAAAGGTTAAACTATTAGATTTAGATTTTTTTTTGATTTCGACGGATTCAAAGCTGCAATGTTCGATATATTAAATTGTAATAAAAACATGGAGTAAATAATAAAAAAGTGCTTAAACCGATTGCACGTCATCATTTCATGATCCAATCTCTTAGTAACATGAAAAAGGTGGACAAAATCATTTTCATTAATTTCAGTGTCTAATCTTTCTTCTTCTTTCGCTTGCTACAACATTTTTGCTACACAATTGCAAGATCATGATAACAGGAATTTTCAGCTAACTCTCGCCAAATAATGACCATTATATTTATAATAAAGACAATGTTAACAACAATAACAATACTAACAATCCTTGTTCATATCATATAAAAGGAAAATATTAGGTTATCACCTCAAATTAACAGTCCGAGAAATTAAAAACCAAAAACGGTGTAATAAGCTTAGTAAATGTCTAATAGTAAATAGTTTTTGAGCCATATCAGCCGGAAGCAAAACTAAACAGCCACACAGTCTAATTATCCATTATCGAATTTTGTGAAAATCACTAATAAGAGAATTGTCATAAAATTACTTACCCGAAAAATTCTTCTTGGCATCGTTTGATTTCAAAGTATCACTATTACCCGTTGTTTTATCTAAAAAAGACAAATTTCAGCGAAAATACAGAAAAATATATAAAAGAAATTGCACATGCAACTAATTTGTTATACAATTTTGTCACTATGTTCTACGTTATCACACGCAACCAAATCACTAGCTATCTAACGAATTAGCGAATTATTCGAAGTGGACTTAGAAAATTTAACATGCATAAAATCATATCGAACATGCATAAAACCATATCGAATGATTTTCAAAAACAAATAAGAAAAGAAGTATTCATTTGAAATAGATATAAGATGAAACTAATTAACTTCGTCAACATTAATCGCAAGTTTTTTTGAGAAACAAATAAAGCATTATTTACCTTACAACAAATAAAACTGAAAATCCATACAAAAAAAAAAAAAAGAAATCATCATGAGTTTACCAAGGAAATGAACAAAATTAGTAGGAAATAATCCAATCCGACCCGTACTCCTTAATTTTCCTTTCATCCATCCTGCTTCTGCTTCGTCTAGAACATCAATTATATCATCTACTTCCAGGTCAAGTTCATCCTCATGTGCTGCTTTATAGGAAAATCTCACTGTTGCTGAACGCATCGACATAGTACCTGTCAATGGAGGAAATGAAAATAAAAAAGTAAAGTGCTAGTCAGAATATCATCCAATGTAAATGTGAAATCTTTTCCGACTTTATCGTTTATTAAACTTTATGTTGTTCTACAAATTCAAGCTTTTAATAATACTGCAATGCAATGCATGAAATTTTTATATTTTGCAACTCTATAATATATCTTCCCAGTATAGTAGTACTAAGTAATCAACACTTGACAATGTAAATGAGAGAAGCTCAAAACGGAAAGAAAAATCGCCCCTTTTTTTGTTAACATGCCAATTATCATCAAACAAATTTTCATCTTTAAATATCATAATACTTTGCACTTTACTCACTAATTCGTAAATCAATTTTCCACATCCCATGAATGATTACATAATTTGGAATTAAAGACATCAAAAATTAACAGATCAAATCTAAGATATTGCATCGTCATAAACATAAAAAATTGAAAAAAAAATCAATTGAAATTTGCAAAAAAATATTTCAAAAAATATCAAAATAAATTATAACAATGAAACATACAAGTATATAGGTATATTATTAGCTTTTCTTGTATACTGAAAGCTAAAAGAATACATTTATAGAATATGTAATTTAGAAAAGAATTATACTTAAATATTATATATGTATGTATAACCCAATGAAACATAACTTTACTTAGAAATATAAAAAGAAAATATCGAAAATTAAAATGATTTTATAAACTTCTGTGCCTTTTTCAACTCTTCAATACCATAACGAACACTAAAACAAATCATATTAGCACTGATTTTGTGCCTTTCTGCACTGTGTATCCTCCTCCTCTTTCCCTTTTTTCTTCATTTAGCACGCATTAAAACTCTGTCTTTGTTCAGTACGCCTTCTGGATGAATCATTTTCTCTTCTAATATTATTTTTCAAATCAAATTAAATACTTCATTTATAAATTCCAAAATTTATTTATACATTGCAGAAATGAGCAAAAATATTTTCAGTTCACTTAAACACCAACCGAAAAGGGAAATGACTATATTAGTTAAAAAGTAGAATAAAATAAATTTTAGTAAATAAAAATAAAATTTTAAAAAGTAAAATAAAATAAAATTTTAATAAGAAATTTTTTGGTTTCAGTGAAAAAACCGTACTCTTTATCATTAACCTAAACAAAGACTGCTTAACAAGCAAAATGTTTTTTTTTTTTTTTTGAAGAATTCCATGGAATTAGTTGCACATCAATGAACAAACAAAAAAAAAAGAAAAAATTGCAAAAAAAAAATCACAAAGTTGTGCTATTCCATAATTACATACCGTTGTATATTTTAATAAACAACTAACTTATTCAAAGCTTATCAGAAAGCTATTACCTAAGAATATATTTTTAACAAAACAAAAAAAAACACAAAATTAACAGTGGTATTAAAAAAAATATTAAAAAAAAATTTTTGAAAAACCAAAAAATGAAATACATGTTAGTAGATAAAATTTAAATAACAACAGCGAGAAGCTGACAAAAGTGACCTAAATGGTAGATTTCGTCAAATAAGAATTACAGTTTAAAAATGTTAACTACATCATACCTTAATTACATATTACCTAGCGTTTTTCTTTATTAGGAATAAAGAGGCTAAACAATTTTATTGGAAACAAGCGATGCAGTATATTTACGATCTTATTTAAACTCTTGAGAAATACACGGAAAATAAGTATGATTCATCTTTCATCAATAATAGGAACGCTTTTCTTTTTTTAGCAGTAATAATGATAATAAATGCTAATTTTCTATTAGAAATATATGCATTTCAGGGACATCTCTATCTTTTTCATCGTTTTTTGACATTATTATATAAAAAAAAAAAGTATCTTAAGTATTAAAACTTATTCCGCATTCCTTACCGATAGTTTCAGCACTAATCCAATATTTTATTTGATGTTTTCCTTTACTTATGTTTATATATTTAGGAATTCAGTAATCACAAGTATCTACTATGATCATGACCATGATACTTTTTTTCCTCTTTTTGTATAAGTAGTACTACTATTCGTCTAAAAACCTGTAATACAAACTAAATTAATTACATTAAAGTCAACTCAATATAGCTAAAAAAATCTATAGAGTAAATTTCTCGAAAGGGTCAACTATTTCCAATATATTTATCCTAAAAAATTCTTCTGCTATTCAGCTGGACTATTAAAACATTTATCGTAAAGAAAAAAAGAACATATAAAATAATTCGATTGATGCATTTCTATTCGTCAAAACATCTTAAATATTCAAAAGCAATGAATGTTCACATGATTCGTTTTTGCAAACACATCCAATCATCAATTCACTGATCGCAAAAAAACCGGTTCAATTATATGAAGGTGCGATTAAAAGATTCGACTGGGAACAATTCGGGTCTTTTTACATAACTGAACGGTCAAAAGAAGATCGGTTTTCCGTACGTACAGAGCAAGGGCAATATAAAGAATTAGTAACGGAAAGGATGTAAAGTAAACATATAAATATTTTCTTTTAAAGAGAAGACCATATACCAATTCTATAATGCATTCTAAATATTGCTTTAGCTGTTCTTCATTTCATTTAAATGTCTTATAAAACTTCTATTAATTCTTTCTCTCATTTCAATTTTTTCTTTTTAATTCTCCATTTTTATGTTTCAATGAGAGAAAAATAAGACACATTTACTTTAAAAACGTATTCAAAAAAAGATGGTAAGTGACAACTATGCATATGGTTGAAGATTATTCGCGTTATATAAAAGAATCATTACGGTGTATTACGGATGAAATAGAAAAATTCAATTATGTCTCTCGTGGAGGATGCACATGCATCAAGCATGAGTTACCAGACAAAACAGATACTAGAATATATGCAATTAACAGTATTAATTTATTTCAAAATTAATATGTAGTAATGGCAGTGCAAAATTATTTCATGCAACAAGCCTAAACATAATGATACCTTTAATAAGAGGTATATTATTTTACAAAAATAGCCGAGACATTTTAGACTTATAATAAATTCTGAAGAAAAATGAAGAAAATGACTAGTAATCGTTTTCCAGCATTCATAACAATCAAGGTTGCAAATTTCACACCAAGACCCAAAGAATGGATTAAAAAATTGCGTATCATAATATCTTATGATTGGATTTCGCACATTGTGTATCCACTTATTGTTAGAAAGCATAATAATAATAATGAAAAAACCGCCAAACTTTTTATTCCTTTATAATATTTTTAGTGATCTTCATATATTTTACGACATTTAGGGAACTTTTTTTTCTGATTAATTTTATTGTAAAAATTAAATGCATTAAATTTCACTATCAAAACCTGAAGGACTTCGGAAATTAATATCTATGCTAGAATTTCATTACAATTTATATATTTATTCTAAGATAAAACCAGTTAGATAGCTTACCAGATCGTCTAAAACTGACATCCACCGATGGTGCTGTTGTTGTCTTGTTCAATTGTGAAAGATCTCTGCTCAAACGATTTACCAGTTTTGCAACATTACCCGACCTCACTTCCATCTGAAATAATATTTATAATCAAATCAGAATCAGATGAAGAGTGAACAGTCAATCGATTAATATCAACCACATAACAACACAGAGCGTTTCATGCTTCGTAGCCATAAAATTTTGATTAAGTTTACTCCAATCCATTTAATACCAATCAGTTCACCTTTTTTTTTTTCAACTCAGTCACCCATAAACTTTCATTTCACTTAGTATTGGCTTCATATTAGCTTATGCATTAACGATAATTAGCACTAATGAATTATTATTGTGTTAATATATGAATCAAATCGAAATATGAACCTTGCAAGGGATTCATGACAATATTTGCTTTTCATAATAATCATAGAGACATAATAACTTATTTACTTGACTTCAACTAGTTAAACTGAGTACATCATTCCAGTACATATAACGAAATTCTTGAACTCTATTCAGTTATTTCTTTCATGATATCAATTAGTTACCAGGAAGGCATATTTAAATTATGTTATTCCGATGCTTTAATAATTCAAACATTTCGAATAAAAACAAAAAGCAAATGGATGAAGCCATTGATGAATTCATTCAATAAGAAAACAAAACTAATACTATGGATTACAGCACAAAAAAAAGAAGAAAAAACCATTGGTTTATCAAAGTTTTCTGATTTTCCCAAATTTATGTATAAGTGAACAACCAAACATACAAAAAACTGGAAGATAACAATTGAATTTAATATTTACAAACTTGTTCGTTTTTTTCAAGTCTTTAACATCACACACATACTGTTATTACATTCATATTGCATTAATTGCTTCCTAAATCACCAATTCTATTGTATCAGTATATTCGATATATCCGGAAACAAAAAAATAAAAAAAACGGAAGGCCAGAAAAATGAAACGGAACGCTCCGGCTTAATCACCACTCCGCACCTTCTATTTCACGGTCCATAGTATTTTTCTGATCTGTAACGACATGACACCATTCTTGTCCCATCCATTAAGTAGCTTATCATTGTTATGCTTATTTTCAATAAATAGTATTTTCCTATTTTCAAAAAAATTTCTTAAGTCTAAATGAACTCAATTATTTATTTTTTTTTAATTAAATCAAATTGAAGAAAAAAAATTTTGATTTAGAAATGATTAATTTTTATTTTTTTGCCAATCAAATTTTTAATTTTTTTCTATTTAATCAAAAATCTTTGATAATAGCGAAAGTATATTCATTCATTCTTATTGTACTTCTAAAAATTCCAAAAAAAACGAATCTTTTTTTTTCATCTAACAAATATTTAAAATATTTATTTATAACTTTAATAACTTCAGTTAATATCAGAATTCATAATTATATATCCGGTAAAAACCGAATAATTTCCAAAAATTACAAAAAAAGAGCCAAAATAGGACCGCAAATGAAGACTTATTTTTATTATTTTGCCATATTCATCATTGATATGGTACGAATTAATCAAATCTAATAAATTGGTGAAA